GTATATAGCAATTGGTGAGTAAATCTCAACTTACACGAAGATCTCGAAAAAAGTATCCAAGATATGAATATGATTCGGATCTAGATCGCGTTGGCAGAACGGTTCGATTTCCTGCACAATATCATTTGACCTCGTTACGGGAGACGAGTTCCCACGACTCCAAAAGCCAGATCTTTGCCCCAATTGATAATCAATGCGATAGAGCCGGCAGCAGTAGTTCCCATTTGTGGGTTTCAGTTTCCAATGATCTGCCGTTTGAGCTGCAGTGGGCTGGAAAGGGTCTGAGAATGTCTCGAAGAATCCCGGTGGCTCTTTGCCTTCAATTACCTCCTCAATTTCGCCCGTCAAGCCTAGATCCATGCCAATAAGTCTGGCGCAGCCAAGTTCATCAGCTGTGCTTCCCCGACCCTGCCAGAGATACAGTTTGCCGAACTTGGCTGAGATTAAATATGGATAGCCGGAGCATAGACTCTTTGCAGCCAGATCGACTTCATCAAAGGCAATCTGGCCCATATGCCGACGGCCGCAGAGCATGTACATTGCGGAAGAGTTAGTGCGGCTACTGGAACCCCTGCGGGTGATGATAATGCCACCAAGAGCTTGAATGAAACTTGGAGCCTCTTTCCCTTGCCGTACAAGCTCAAGTTTGCAGCTATTCTCTCGGGCAACTTTGCGAGCAAAAAGCTGTGCGTCCTCGATGGCCGCCTCGCTTACCCCGTCACCACACCATAGAAGAACTTGTGTTGTATTGGAATTTGACGGACCGTTCGCTACTTTGAAAACGTGCACACATACATACATGCTCTCTTCGAATAGAATATACCCAAGGTTAGCAGGCAAGTCTTTCCGCTTGCCGTCGCCAGTAATCTCCCATATTTGCTTCGATATAGTCTTGATTTTTGGATATACATGTGATTGCGACATCAATATTGACTGCGGATCAACCTCAACCTTATCACTGACCTGAGGCATGACGTCAAAGAAGCTTGAAAATACATTAGCGGCCTCCGAAGATTCTGGAAATGGCGATGCCTTTGCGATTGTCAAGGGTGACTTATAGTTGCTGGCATTCGAGCTGGATGGTTTGGGAGGAACTGGTGGTGAGCTAATATGTTCCTGTGGGAAGAGGGGAAGACTCTTTTGTTTCAACGGCATTGTTGCCGGTGAGGAAAACGTAGAAGACTTGAGTGGCGGACTTGGCTTGCGTTCAGACTTAAAGCTATCATTAAAAGTAGTTCTTCTAGCGAAAGGCTTTAGCGCAACTGATTCCGTCTCCACGCATTTCTTCGAGGAAAGTGACTCCAGCTGTGGCTCAACCGCATCTCTTCCTGCATCACTTGCCGTAGGACCATTGCTGGTAGGCGTGAATTTCCTCAAATCAGGGGATTTCGAAGACACTGGTGGTCTGTCCTTGCTTCGTTGGGCGTCATTTGGCGTTGAAGTTGGCGTAGAAGAGACATCAGCCGCATCCGACTCGGTCTTCTCAGATGGGAGCTGTGTGGGCAGTGGTCTTGGATCTTGTTGAGCGGGAGAAGAGATTGGCTTAAACATATTATTGCTAGACTTGGCATCTGGTACTGGCCGCGATGATGATGGCTCAACTTTAGTCAGACCGCTGACTTCATTACTGGGTGGCGCAGGCTCGGACTTAGCGGATTGTGGCAGCCTCCTTTTCGGACCTCTTGCTCGGGATTTCGTGGTGTGCGTCAACTTTGCAGGCGCATATTGCTCAGATGGCTCAGTGCGTGACCATGACATTGACGGTGATGGTGTGGTATTGGGGATACTAGGCGGCCCGCGGGATAAAATGCCTGCCAAGGCGGGATTCAGCCGATTCGCAAGCTTCCCCGTGCCAGAATGTGCACGTTGTCCGTCTAGTGTGTTGGTTAACGAGGTGCATTGGGCGGAGGTGGTAGTTGGACCAGACGCATTTGCATCCTTTTCAGAAACCTCATGATCGCTGTGCAACTTTGTCGTCATCGATTGTTGTGACGGAGAGTCAAACTTTTTTGCACTTTCATCAGCGAGGTCTTCAGATGACACATTCCGCGAAGATTTGGCTGTACCAATTTTTGTACTCTCCAGCCCATTCACAAATGAAGATTTTGGGATTGCAGCTTGGATCTCAGCGACAGCAGCGGGGCTGTAGATCTTGTTAGGGACCTGAATATCTGAAGAGGTAAACGGAGATGGCTTAGATTCTCTAGAAGGGCTAATAATTTTGGGTTGTTCAGCGAGCTTAGGGGACACATCCCTCCCTGAAGAGCTGCTAATTATACTTCCAGATCTAGTCATGTTTCTCTGTCTCGCAATCGCCTCAGGAATCTCAGGTGATTGATTGTCCGGTGAGCTAGGCCCTTTACTTTCAATTGTTGGCATACGAATCGACCCTCCACCAGCTTTCATTGCCTCTTTCTGTTTAAGAATACTTTCCCTAAATTCGTCCACTTTTGGGCCCTTTTTGGGCCCTCCGGTTGCATTCAAACCGGCTTTACCCCTCAGAATATTATGCTTTAACAGATCAGGAGCAACATAATTCTTCGTTTCGGTCTTTCTTAGCTTTCCAAACACGTGTTTGAACTCCGGTTCATCCGTTGTTGAAGACTCATTGGCAAGCTCACGGCGGCGTAGATTTGCTCTGAAGTCATTATTGAGAGGGGGCGTGGAAGGTGTGATCTTTGGAGATATTCCATCAACAGATGCTTTGCCTATAGATCTGAAGCCCTTTTGGGAGCCGACGGGAGATGAGGCAGCAGGACTGCAAGCTCTTTCCCCAGGTGATGAAACAGACTCTGACTTGACGTCCTCCGTTTTCAGAGATTTTTCCGGTACCTGTTGCTGACTCACATCTGTATCGATATGTAAATCTTGCTCTCCACTACCGGGATCTGGAGCGTTGCCAGGCTTAGGACAGTCCGATTTTATCGCATTATGGGGCACCGAATTTCCAAATTCCTTCAGAGGCATGAAAGCGGTGCTACCAGGTTTCGGGGGAAATTGGTTCTCCTTTTGCAAAGGGGGTTTTGGGGAACCTGGGCCGCCCAAATCGACACTTGTTCTGTTCTGCCGCAGCCGGTTATTTAGGCCTCTCTTCCATTCAGGCTCATTGGGGGTCTGTGGCCTAGATTTTGGAGAATCTGGCTTATTCAACGCACTCTCCAGCCAGGTAGCCTTGGTGGGGCTCCATCGTCTCAGATCCATCGTCTTAGAAGGACTACTCGGCAAGTCTGAATATCTGTCTCCCGCGTTGCTAATCGAGTTTGATCGTGACAACGGCTGGGAGGAGAGAAAAGATTTCGCGAAAACATCACTGGTTGATTTCGATGGTTCGAATTCTCCCTTCGTGGGATTGCGGACACCAGTAGCTTCGCTATGGATGGAACCGGGGCGTGAAGTTGGAATCTTTAAAGCAGCTTCATCGCTTGCTTCCCTAGATAGACTTGCTGATGGTGCTGGATAGCCAGGCTTGGGAGTTGCATTGGATCTCCCAGATGATTGAGCACTCCATCGTTTAGAAACGCTATCGGAACGCTTCATCATAGCACTTTGTACAAACCCACCCAAGCCTTTCGTTGGAGAAGAGGACCGATCACTAGAAAAGCGGCCCTGGGCCGGGGACATTTCAAACCGGTCAGTTGACTGGGGGTGATTGGCGGTAAAGGAGCCACGAGACTCTAGTCTTTGAGAGGTTGACAACGGAACCGGAGAGCCCAATCCACCAGCAGTAGACACAGAAGAAACACTGGAGAACCTATTTCCCGCTGCACTTGTGCCAAATATCGAGCTAACTCTGGACAGAGACCTGGAATGTTCACCAAAGTCGTTGTTTATTAATTTTTCGGACTCGACGATGGACTCTCTACCCAAGCCTGGAAGTCTAATATTCCCACTCATCGTAGAAACATCGGACATTGAGCTGTCTTGAGCACGTCTGTATGCAGGAGACCCAATTCCTATATCAGTCGTCTGGCGGAACCAGGCAGGGTCCTTCGAAGCCAGGGACTGCACGATATGAGATCGGGACGGGGTTGAATCTACGTCAGGTGAAACTTCAACAGGGGATTTAATAGATTGTAAGTTTAAGAAAGCTCCAGTGCCAGCATCAAGATCTCGTGAATTAGGCCGTTGCTTCCATGAAAGCGGTCGTGGAGATGGTCGCAAGGTGGCTGGTGATCTGGCAGCGTTCTCTGCCAAATCGTCTGTTTTGATCATATCTGGATCCTTTATTGTTGATGCTGCTGCTGGTTTGGTTTTCGAATCCTCAATATGCATGGAGGGGAGAAGTGTCAAGGGCGGATCAACAGATAGTGAAGATGTGGGAGAGGATTGATAGATGTTTCCAGCCAGGGAGGCGTCGAATGGACTAGGAGAGTCCTTTGTTGGGGAGATGGATCGAACACGCTCTGCGTTGACATAGAAACACAGACAATGCTAAAGTTAGCCTGACCAATCTAGAATTGCCGTGCTATAAGCACATTTTTTTTTACATATTTTATTTTATATCTTCAAAATTACGGTGATGAAGACATTGACTTAGCCCGCGGAAATGGACGGGGATAGCAAGGGAATGGAGAATTCAAACTCACCAGCTCTTCTGGCCAGTCTCTCTCTCCGACCTTGTAGAATCTCTTCCTCTAGCTTCCTAGCACGCTCTTCATCTTCCTTGTCGCGTTTGTTGCCCAGCTCCCGGATGCGCACGAGGAAGTCATTAACATCTTCAGAGCCGTCTGTTTCAGTGTCACGGTTCATGGCGATGTCAGTTAACTAGTAGCTAGGAGCTAACAAATGAGCTCGAAGACGGAGGAACAAAGGAAAAGCTTGCCACGACGCGAGTAATGAGACATTAAAAAAAAATAAAGGAAAAGGAAAAGAAAAAGAAAAAAAAGCACATCGGGATCTTGTACTGTTCCTGGCCTGTTCCTGGGCTTGTTCCAAGGATTTGTTGATGTCGGATTGAGTTAGTCACAAGCTGAGGTTCGGCTGTGACTTTAACTTACATAATGCTGCTAATAACGAACCCTTCGATTCTATGGAGTGGTTTACTACAATCAGACAATGACGTCGCGGAAAAGAAGAATAGCAATGGAGGACTAGTGTCTCTTCTTATTCAGAAGAATCAGTTAGATGGCCCCATTCTAGAAATCGCCTATACCGCACGAACGATTCCTCAGTCCTCAGCCCTCGCAGAATCACCCCCTCACACGCCAATAAACTCGGTTCCGAACTGGCATTCAGGGAACCAAAACGGTAGTTAACTACTGATAATAGACTACAGTTAAAGTGGCATGCTGAGGGGATCTCTTGGTGTTTATTCTCTCCTTACCTTGTGAGGTGTGGACATGAACAATGCATCATTTATTATTTGTTTCTCTGCTTATTTCCTCATCCACTCTGATTATCAATATCCTTCATCCAGGATCCTGTTTCAGCATGTTTCTTTCAGGAACAAAAGTTGGCTTCATGTGATGAATTTGACTTCGGCGTGATCATTGTCTAAACAAACTTGAAAATCATAAATTCATCAGACCAGCCTTGATTCAATACAATAATATTTAATATGATATTAAATTTTGCGCCATATAACAGTCTCCCACGTAAAACATTTATTTTGTATGGGATTTCAAACCAACAAAAATCCATGCAATCGTTTCTGGAAACCCGTTAAGCGTTTTCCCACAGGCTGACCTCTTGGGCAAAGCCTGTTCAGATCGAGATATAGAGTAGATTAGTACAAAAAGAGCCTGTCCTTTGCATCTTGCACCACCCATTCAAGGCCCTCGTTCAGATTATGGCCCGTCATGGCGCTGCACGGAAATATCGTCCACTTGTGCGTCCTAATCGCATCGAGCTGCAACCCCTATGTGTGTTTATCCGTAAATCATGAGTGATATGCTACTATTACCATCGTAGCAATGCCAATTTACATACCTCTCGAACCTCAGTTTCACTCATACCGCCCTCGATATCGGTCTTGTTCAGGAAGACAAGCAAACTTGCGCCCGTAAGCCGCTTTTTTTTTTTAAAAAAAAAAAAAAATTATTTCAGCCCGAAAGATTCCTCTGACTTCAGCCCCACCAATCAAAGCCAAGGGTTGGACAAAATAATGAAAGCATCAACGTCCGATATCTTACCTCCTCCAGTAGAAGTCCAGCAAGCTCCCCTCGACAGTCATCAATCCTCATACGATCCGTGGCATCAACCACCCAGATCAGTGCATCCGTCTTCTCGAAATAGTTTCTCCAGTAAGATCGCAGCGTCTTTTGCCCTCCAACATCCCCTTCGCGGAAAATCAGCCAGGTCGCGTTTTTTTCAAGTTTTCTGTTTTTCCCCGCTTGAACCGCGAAACTGAAGCTGAAGTGAGAAAACCTAAAACCTACATATGTTCAATTTGTAGCTGGTGTCGACGAAGGAGAGAATATCAGCCCCATGCAAAAGAACTTTGGATGCAATGGGACAACCTCTGCTTACCCTTGAAAGTCAATCGATTTAATGATAAACCCCAGCGTTGGGCTGACTGTGGTGACATCTTCGTTCATGATCCTCTTGACAATAGTGGTCTTGCCAGCGTTGTCCAGCCCTCTATAAATCCTCCACTCAGCAAGCTGGTTCATCCATGCATGGTAGTTGGAGATGAGAAAGGAACTTACAGCATCAAAATCCTCATCTCCTTGTCCTTCAGCCTGGCTTTTCGTAGGATCGAAAGCATATTTATTTGCTTGTTTCTGTTCTTTGTTGGTTTTCTTTAGTTTTTGATGATGCTGCAAGAGGTCAACCAGGGCATCCAATGCTCTTTTGTATTTTTGTTAGACTCTTCGCACCCAACAAATAGTTACTCCCAACAGCCGAAGAAGCTTGATATATCTTAACATACTCTCTTCCTAAAACATAGGAAGATATTTGAGGGTATTTATATCCTTATTTCTTAAAGGGTTTTTTTTTTTCTTAAAAAAAAAACCCTTACTTGATCATATCTTCATGACTTCATAATGCTTTGCCTATTATCCCTTTCGGATGTTGCTTCATACTTGAGTCGTTTCATCTTATCTTCAGCAACTGGAGTCCTGAAACCATCAACAGCGTATGTACACGTACAATCATGCACTCATCAGCTTATCAAGTCTAGGCGATACCAGCCATGCAGCCGTGTTGTGCTTAATATATCTTCAATGAATCCTGTGTAAACTTCTTTTCTTCTCTACAACTTTTTTGACACATGTTCTTTTCATGTATTTTCACCAGAGCGTCCCGATTTAATCTATCCCCCCGTGTAACACTACCTTTAGAGGTGACAGAGCCTACTCCTCGATTCTATATCATCTGCTCTTATTTTTGCTTTGGCGCAGGATATCCACAGAAGGTCTGCCTGTATCAGAGTCTGATTGTTGCTGTTGTTCAACGTGGGGAGATGGACTTTTGGCTTCGAGGATCAAGTTCCAAAGCTTCTCAGGGTAAGTAACCGTCCACGATGTTATATCAGCGCCGTAATATTGTTGAGCTATTTGTATAAATAAAATAACTTACCTCGTGCACACAGACAGCAGCAACGGAAGGACTCAGGGAATCGACCCATAAGGAATCTCCGCCAAGGGCTGACGAATGGAGCGAAGTCTTGATGTCCTTCAAAACGGTTCCGACAGCTCCTCTCGCGAAATACAGGAGAACTATATGAAAACCTCCTGTGGAAGCACATCAGGCCCTGTACTTGAAAAAACTCGGAATTGGCTTGGGAACAGCTGCAGGTCCAGTGCCGTCAGGTCTAGTGCCGTCGGGCACCGCCTTCACTCCCTCTTCTAGGGCTCAGGCTCAAACCTCCCCAAAGGACAACGCTGGATTGCAAGGACTGATTTTACCAGTGCCAAACATTGCAATTCCAGCGCAATCGAACACGGCAGCAACCATTTCTCCCGCAGTCAACGTGTCGCTGAGGGACGGAGCAAGCCAGCGCACAAATGTAATTCGCAATACAAAATCCTCAAACCCTCGTCACCTTTCAAGCGAATGTCAACCACCGATCAGAAAAATCCATCCAACATTCGCAGGTGCTGAAGACTCTGTGCAGAAAAAGAGGTGAGACGAGTTCATCCACAAAAACAAAAAGGAAGAAAGAAAAAATTATGTTCCTTTTGCTTCAACTAACTTGTTACACAGTCGTAATCATGCCCCCGAACATGATAAGAGGTCTCCCTTTACCTCCAGGCATCTCTCCTAGTTCCCAAGTTGTGTTGTAAAAATATTGACACATCCCAAAGATTCTTCTCAATCTCCTAAATCTCCTAAACCTGACCAACCACTTGCAGACTTGTCTGATGAATTCCGAATTCGACGGCACAGGAGATTCATAGGGAGATCACCCCTGGACCCAAGCAGTCCTGATTCACTGCGAGCTGGACGACTGACTTCATATACCATCCAAAATTTGCGCCAGGATTTGAATACTAACAGCTCAGCCACTATTAACCGTTGTGAAGCCAATTCCAATAAAGCCACAAATCGTAGCTCTCCCACTGCCCATCAAGGCACGCATGAGACCCCGAATCCCGATAGAGCTTCCAAATTTTTGACATCGGCTAGAAACAAAGAACGTACGGCTCCAATGGTTTCGAACATGCAGGTCAAATCCTCCGCAGGTGGAGCAAAGAAAATGGACATTAACGAACGGCTGGAGCGCCTTCAGAGGGAAGAGAAGAGGAAAATAGGTCTACAACGTCGTGGTATCAACATCTATGCCACCAAAAAAGAATCTTCAGCACTAGACATTGCACGTGAAGGAGAAGGGAATGATCCGAAATCGCCAGTTGCCAAAGGAATACCTTCCGCTCTCACCAACCCAAATATAGCGGCATCGTCACCCACTAAGCAAAATGAGAGGTTGGAAAGCAATTCTCCCATCGATACGGAGTTAAACAACCCCAGTTCTGGTATCCTTGAATACCGTAGTCCTTATTCCGTACACAGCTTCGGTTCCTCCGAACAAAAGGAAAAGAAACAACTGGTACCAGTGGACAACACAGTTTCTTCGCCCCTGGTGAATTCGCAATATCGCCCTTGGGATAGTCAATTAGGCTCTGAATTTACTCACAGATTCACAAAATGGCTGGGTGCCGTGAGAACGTTGGATCGCGTCTGCGTGGATACGACCAGCCCACTGTTCAACGATGCAAATTTACGCTCCGATGGTGGACATGAGATGATTGTCTCAAAAGCCATAGCACCGATCACACTTCTTAACCTGGCCGATCCAGAGAGTGCTGAGCATGTCCATAAGACAGCTCGTGGTTATATTCACAATTGGAATGCTAGAATCGATCGGGAGCAGGAAGGAATTAGTGCGAAAAGAGAGAAGATGGCCTTGCATATGAAACTCGCTTTCCGGAACCCTCAGCCCCTGGCGGTAGAGGCTAACTCACACACGCCAAAGGCAAAAAAGTACATCCGACCCGTTGAAAAGAAAGACTTTCCCGGATTATTATATATCTTCAATTGGTATGTTCAGAACACAGTCTCCTGCGTTGATCTGGACAAACTATCTGTCCGCGCCGTGAAGGAGCGTGTCGACGAATGCGAACGTGAGAAGTTTCCAACTCTCGTTGCCGTCGAGCAGAAACCCCGCCTGGGTCACGCCCTCAGCGAAGAAAAGGAGAATATCTACGGTTACATCCTCTCAAGCGATTTCACAGGCCCTGCCACAATTAACCGCTACACTGCGGAATTGGAATTGTTTGTTGATCCCAAATACTACCGTCTTGGCGTCGGTAAATGTCTTCTTGACAAGATGCTGGAAATCCTAGATGGTGACTATACTCCCTACCAGGGATATCATTTTGACTGCGCCGCTGCCCAGGCTGATGTACACCGTGGGGGCAGGAATCGTCGACTGTCCAGATTGATTTTCATCATTCATCACAAGGCAGAGGACGATTCCAACTACAGATGGACAAAGGAACGGCTTGAGAGGAGATTCGGATTTGAAGAGCAGGCGCTACTTAAGGGAACTGGATATAAAATGGGAGAATGGTGAGTCGTTTTTTCCCCACCCCATGAGACCGATCTATATAGATAGACCTGGTTTGACTCTGATAATTCCTAAATTCCCACTTAACATGTTGCATGCTAACGTGCTTTCTCTGTCAAGCCTATCCGCCTTCTTATGTAATCCGCACCGCATATAACTTCCGCGTAGCTAGCGATCGCTTCATAATCAATCAAGCAATCTATCCTTCACATTCTCAACCTTCAGGTTAAACTCCAGCTACCTGGTCCGCACCAACCGGGTATATCCCCGACAGAGCACTGCCAGAAAATTGAGACATCTTGTTACAATACAACAACCCTGTCCGAGCGTTAAACTTTAGTGGTGGAATATTTTCTCATTGGCTACGCATTTGTTTCATCCATTACCCCCATCCCAGCACTATTAGTGCCAAGTACAGCAATGTTTTTTTTATCCCTCACCACCTGAGCAACTAGTTAGCTAAGTATCAATTCAATTTCATCCATTCAAACCCCGTCCTTTATAATAACTCCAATGCCTAGGTCATTCCACTCTTTGTTCTTGTCAGGTAAAAGGGGGAGTAAAAAGATGGAATAAAAGGAAAAAGGAAATCTTAATCAATTAACACAATCATTTTCATAGTCATGGGCACATTTCTAACTCTAGTTGTTTTCAAAAAGGGACACACATACATTATATTTCCCTTTGGTATCGTGCTTATCAAAATTTAACAGAAGGGAACCCCCCCCCCCCCCCCCCCCCCCAAAAAAAAAAAATCAAAGAAAAGAAAAGAGAAAAAAGAAAAGAAAAGTGAAGAAAGAAAATAAGAAAGAGAGGAAAAGAAAAAGAAATAAAAAAAAAGGTTCAAATCAAAACTCCAAATCCAAACTCCAAATCCAAACTTATGCCTTTTTTTTAAACCAATGAACAACTGCAGCGTAAAGAAAAACTGTCTTGTAATCCAGAGCCGCTTGCAGTCCCAGAAACGGACAGGCCTGAAAGAGTTGCAGTAGTAGCAGGACGATGTTGGGAAGCTGCAGAAGATGAAGAGAGTGGAGTGGTATCAGAGCCACTTTGTTTGATGAAGATTGGATAAGATGAAGAAGCTGGTGTAGTAGAAGTAGTCGCGTTCAAATTGTGGGTTGGGCAAGGCGCAGTTGGCCAAGGGGCATGACTGGAAGTGGTAGAGTTATAGAGCGTAGTATTCCAAGCGGGAGGTATAGAGATAGCACCCGGAGAAGAAGTGACAGCAGTGGAAGAAGATGCCTTTTCAGTGGCAGGAGATGCCTTTTCAGTGGCAGGAGATGCCTTTGCAGTGGAAGAAGATGCCTTTTCAGTAAAAGAGGATGCCTTCGCAGTGGAAGAAGATGCCTTTTCAGTAAAAGAGGATGCCTTCGCAGTGGAAGAGGATGCCTTAATAGCGGCGGGAGAAGAGTCACCACTGGCAGGTCCTAGACCATGGCCATAAAGCACGTTGTCACCTGGCCTCGGGAATATCGTATTGGAACCCTCAACAGTCTTCTTGCCATTGCCCACATTAGCAACATACATATCGGGCAAATTTTCGAAGTCAGATGAATTCCCGCTTCCACTTTTTATGTTAACTAGGGCACAGTTCATGTACATCTCACGATTTCCAAGGAGATTGAACCACGACCAGGCGAAGACAACTTCTCCTTGTGGTACGAAGTGTGGAATTTTGACTAGGTAATTCTTGGGCAATGGGCAGCCACCAATCATTGACATGATGACTTTGAAGGTGTTGCCACCGTCGTAACTGAGAGAGACTTGACAGGAGCCGCCGCCGTGGGTGGCTGAACCCTCAAGTTTGAGCTGGACGGTGTCCCCGGCTTGGTATGTAGCAACAGGCATATTGCCGGTATCATGGTGATAGCCCTTGCAGGGAAAATTGGAACCTGGGTAAGTAAGTCAGCTTTGATTAGGGACAAGTTTCCAGAGAGCAGAGTGGATTGGGTGGGCAGGGGTGTTTGTTTATCAACGAGAACAAATGTTACTAACCATCTCCCAGAAGAGGGGACGTGTTGCTGTAATCAATTTGGGTACCTGAACCGAACCTGCTGCGGAAGGCAAGGGGTTCTCTCATTTCCATGTGAGCAAATGCAGATCTGGCTGCGACAACAACGGTAAGAAGGCTGAGGGAATGCATAGTTCGAATATGAAGGACAGTAGATATCTATACAATCTATACAATGGAGGGAAGGGAATGTATGCACGAGGAAAGCAATGAAGGACCAGCATTCAAAGCTTAAGAGGCAGATAAAATGAATGACAATTAGCCTGGTCAATAGTGACACTATTGATATCGATGAGAGCAACGAGAACAGCATTTCAGCCGGACGGAGAACCCTTTATTTATGCCTTCCCGATCTTTCCATCAAGTCAAGGAGAGGCAAAAATACAAACAACCACATTGAACGACCGAGGGGCTGTGTGTATTGAAGAATCCCAGGGCCCCAAATCCACCAAAATCCCACCTCAGGGACCTTAGTTAGATACCTGGATACCACCCATCGGGGTCCACAGGCTTCTCCTTTGCGGTCTTTTTGAATGGCGATAAACGGCCATCTCTCCAGGTTTCTGTTTTGGGCCGACTCCTTTCGTCGCATTATCAGGGATCAGAGTGTAAGTCCACCAGTTTCTCAGTCCAGGGGAAACTCCAGAAGGCATTTGTATACCGCTCGCCCGACAACGAACCGACACCGAGCAACCCCACAATTCGTCTGGGGATGGGCAGGAATAATGTTCACTTATGAGGGATTAAACGCGCATGCACTTTAGCTGCTCTGACCGTAAGTGGCGGGGCATGTGTGAATCAAGGGGGACAAGATAATTGGGTAAAGGAGCCCATTGCACTGGCCAATCAGATCAACGAGTTATTGGGGGGGCTGGGATTTAAGATTTCCTCAGCCACAGCAAAGAGCAATATGAGGCTGATGCATCCACTAAGGTGCTCGCTGGTCTCTGTAACGGAGAACAAACCCCCGGAAAGAGTCATGATTTCATTCATTTTTATCGCGCAGCCAGGCAGTCCTAGGGCATCTGTCGCGGCGGCCAGCGTAATCGATATAACCGCGCGCACATAGATATTCAACCAGCTTCCCCGCGAGCGGCCGACTCGTCAGACACCTCCCCCCTAAAACTAAGGATCTTCTCCCTGCCCACACTTTGAAGAGAGACAAGCTGCGGCACTCGAAACAGGCGCAGTATTCGAGGAGTGGAAACGCCTAGATCATGAAGCACCGCATTCCACGATCTAGAACATAACATCGATTGAGATTTAGGCGCCATTACCTTGGCAGAGGAGAGCAGGAAAGGGCATCGATGGATGGATCTGGCAGTACATAACACCTGATTTTGTACGCCGTACTCCGGACCATTGTTTTGTTGGTGGCTGGTAGAGAAGCTGATCAGCTGAGGAATAACTGCAGGTGTTGGAAGTTCACCCTGCCCCCCCCCTACAACAATCCTGATATAAGCGTCACCCACGAACCAAAATATCCTCAATTCCTAATACGCCTCCTTCAACGTGCGAGAATACCACCCTATTTGCCATTAAAAGACAAGAAGCCCAATGGAGATAGAGGGAAGAGTTGAACTTGTAATGTCCTCTTTAAAAAAAATAATAATGATAATAATAATAATAATAATAATAATAATAATAATAATAATAATAAATACAACTCAAGAGATAACCTCAATTCATGACGTCTCATGGGTGCTTGATGTTGTGTTTACAATGCTATATGAACGATTCAAGGTTGGCCTTCATGAAGTATTATAAATCGGAGTGAATTCTCACAGATTTGGCCCAAGCCGAAGATCTGGATTAATGAGAACTACCTGCGCTGCGCAGCCAGCATTGGCTAGAATATGACTAATAATCTTCTCCTAAGTTAATATTACAAATCTCACGAGTGTGTTGCCAAGAACTGAAAACTATTGTATGCAACTAATGAGGATGCTTCAGACAGGACCAGATCAATGTGAGGATACTAGAGTTATTCAAAATAGATTTAATAAAACTCAAGATATAATTGCCGAGAAGAAGTTTCCAAAGAAGTATATCTACAACTTTAGGAAATTGATTTTACAGCAGAACTTTGTGTAAAGTATTATGTGCTATGATTATATAGAGCTGCTATCAATAAACTAACTGTGATGAAGACAGTTGATATATTAGATGTAGTATTATTTCACATATTATCATTAAGGCCACACCCACCCACTGCCGGTAACTATCCATGTAGGAACTTCAGGCCAAGATTATGTCACCCGCAGAGTGGCAGATTTTGATGCTCTAATTGGTGATGCCAAGACGGAGAGTCCCTCGAGGAAAAACCCGATCACATGACCTCACCGCCAAAAGGGGACGCCAAGGTAGACTGTTCTGTCGCATTACACCGCTTTGGGATGTAGGAAATTTCGACCAAACCAAAAAAAAGAAAAAAGAAAGAAAAACGAACCGAGAACATTTTCTTGCAGTTATCACCACACTCGTTTCAAGTCCCCTACCAAATAGAAGAATGCTTAGTTCGTCATTGTATTCCTCTTGAATACCCCACTCGTATGGCGGAACACTGAATAAATGGCCCCAATTTCTGGTAAAAAGAAAGCCAGTGATGATTTTATCTTGACACTATCAGACGACGAAAACGACGTCGCCCTTGATGATACAAAGGAATTTGGCCTAGGGACGACTGAATCATTGAAAAGGAGTTTTAAAGCTTCGGGCGGCGCAAAACGGAAAAGGGACGATGATGTAACCGTGAACGGAGGGCAGAATAAGAAGTCGAAGGGGACCGAGATAAAGAAGGGTAAACCCGACAGCTGCTATAATGATGCTAGCCTTGAATATACGTCACAGTCTGATCACGATGCAAATGGAGATGATGATGGTGCATTGGATCCTGATTTCGAGTTCGATGTTGGAGGTGCGGCAATTGCGGACTTCGTAGAGGACTTTGATGGCTGGGCAGTTAATGAGCGGCCTGGGATGAAAACTGATGGCAATAGGAATAAAACATCAGTGGATATTGATGATATAATCTCCCGGAGGCAACAGAAGATGAAGGAGAAATTAGACAAACGGAGAAAGGAGCTACAAAAGAAAGAGGAAGAAAAGTCGGAAGAGGAGTTCAATGGCATCTATTCGCAGGATGAAGAGGAGCAAGCCGGTGCTGTTGATCTCGAAGACGACGAGCTATTGGCCCCTGATGCATTTGGTATGGGAGCTGGCATCGGAGCGGAGGAGGAAGAGGATGACGAATCCGAGGATGCTGAGAATACATCCGAACCCGATTCCGACGATGAAGCCGATTCCGACAACGACTCGGTTGCATCTCCCGTGGCACATCCCGACGATATTGGGTCAGACGATGGCTCAGGCGATGAAAGTGAAAATCCTGCTGAAGTCGAAAAGCAAAAAGCTTTCTTTGCCCCCGAAGATACCACATCAACCAACGACAACCTGGAGACTGCAAAATCCTTCCAGGCCTTTTCACTCTCGAGGCCAATATTACGTGGCCTCACATCAGTCGGTTTCACCACTCCGACTCCTATTCAACGGAAAACAATACCTGTTGCCCTGCTTGGCAAGGATGTCGTTGGCGGTGCTGTTACGGGTTCCGGTAAAACTGGTGCCTTCATCATTCCCATCCTAGAACGCCTTCTTTACCGCCCCAGGAAAGTCCCTACTAGCCGCGTCGCAATCCTGATGCCTACTCGAGAACTGGCTGTTCAATGTTGCAACGTCGCTACTAAGCTTGCAACATACACCGATATTACATTCTGTCAGCTAGTCGGAGGTTTCAGTCTCAGGGAACAGGAGAACATCCTTAAAAAGAGACCTGATGTCATTATTGCAACCCCCGGTCGATTTATCGACCATATGAGAAACTCTGCCAGCTTCACAGTAGATACTTTGGAAATTCTTGTCCTCGACGAGGCAGATCGAATGCTGGAGGACGGATTCGCCGACGAACTGAATGAGATTCTGACGACAATTCCCAAATCTCGACAGACTATGCTTTTCTCCGCCACAATGACAAACACCATCGACAAACTCATTCGAGTGGGCCTTAACAGACCAGTCCGGTTGATGGTAGATGCTCAGAAGCAGACTGTTGGGACTCTGGTACAAGAATTTGTCAGGTTACGACCAGGCAGGGAAGATAAGCGGTTGGGTTACCTCATTGCTCTCTGTAAGACAGTTTGTAAGGATCTTGTTATTATATTTTTCCGCTCCAAAAAGGAGGCGCATCGTGTCCGGATAATTTTTGGTCTTTTTGGACTTAAATCTGCGGAGCTCCATGGAAGCATGAGTCAAGAACAGGCAAGTTTCGCCATCGCTTCAGGCACTTTAACCACTGATCTGGGACACGAACTAATGTTGTCCAATAGCGTATCAAAAGTGTGGAAAGCTTTCGAGATGGGAAGGTTTCTTTTCTTCTCGCAACTGACCTCGCATCCAGAGGTCTGGATATCAAAGGTGTCGAAACCGTTATTAACTACGAAGCCCCGCAGTCACACGAAATTTATCTGCATAGGGTGGGTCGTACGGCGCGTGCAGGGCGCTCAGGACGTGCGTGCACGATTGCTGCAGAATCAGACAGAAAAGTAGTCAAAGCTGCTGTGAAAACCGGTCGAGCTCAAGGGGCAAAAATTGTAAGCCGACTCATCGACGTCGCAGAAGCCGACAAGTGGGCCGCCAAGGTAGAGGAGATGGAGGACGAAGTCAAAGAGATCCTCAAGGAGGAAAAGGAGGAGAAGCAACTAGCTCAGGCGGAAATGGAAGTGACCCGCGGCAGCAACCTCATTAGCCATGAAAAGGATATCATGTCAAGGCCGAAGCGCACATGGTTTGAGAGCGAAAAGGAAAAGCTGCAGGCTAAGCAGCGAGCTCTTGAGGAACTGAATGGGCCGAGTAAGAAGAAGAAAGGCAAGCTTAGTGGCAAAGACAAAAAGAAACTGGACGATAGTCGGGAGAGGAAAGAAGGCAAGGTCTGGAAGAAGGGCAAAACTGAGCGGGAGAGCCAACTGAAGAAGGGTCCAGGGAAAGGAAAAGGCAAGGGTCAACCAAAGGCTGGAGGGAAGAAAACCCCCATTAAGCGGTGAGGAGCGTAACTAATAATCATCGTCGGTTCTTCAAGCCTGAGCTTGATATATTTCATTTTTGAACATTGCTTAATTGGCCAATGCATTAACTCGCCAGGTGGCGCATAGTGTTGCTGGTTTCGCACAGCACTTTCTAATTCATACGCCTCCTCTTGCGGCACAATACATTCTTTACTGCGGTTCAGCTGGCTTTCATCTCTCCCTCCATCTGTATGCTATTGTTCTACATGAAATATCAATGTCCGTATAACGGATCCAGACCTTTGATCCACGGTTCTCCTTTATTTCCTTCACCAGGAGACTGGGAGTCACGTGGTGATAGCGATAAACATCTGCTGACTCATTGCCACAAACCCACATCTTCCGATTTCGGGAAGAGAAGAGAAATTTATCGACGGACGCCACTGAGTCACCAGAGCGCAGAGGAAGAGAATTACGGCGTCTTTTGCTCTGAATATATATCTCTTCCTGTAAGCCTTGTGTTGCCTTGTGGTCTGTTTGGCTCAATCGTTGTTGTCTATACTCCAACAGCGTTGACATTTGTAACCTCCCCTGTCTGGGCTCCTTTTGTCTCCCTTCCCCGCAAGCTTGCTCTGAGAACCGTCACGATTCAGCGGGTAATTATAGTCATTCACAATGCCCATGTAAGGTTGCCATTTACTTTGCTTTAGTGCATGTGAGCTATAGCTAACACCCTAATCAGGCTCAAGGACCCCTCGAAAAAGTACCAGCGCTTCAAGCCGTTGGATCTTCCCAATCGTCAATGGCCCTCCAAGACCATAGACAAGCCTCCCCGATGGTTGACCACTGACCTCAGAGATGGTAATCAGAGTTTGGTTGATCCAATGGTAAGACTACAATCTTACAAATTGCTGGGTTCAAGCACTCGATGCGATATTTGCTTCATTGCTTCAGTTCCAACCCCAAGCTAACTCTCCAACTTTGTGACCCAAATAGGATGGAGACCAAAAACTACGATTCTTCAGAATGCTTGTGGAGATTGGCTACAAGGAAATTGAGATATCGTTCCCATCAGCCTCGCAGACAGATTTCGATTTCACGCGACGTCTGATCGAAACACCAGGAGAAGTTCCCGACGATGTTTGGCTCCAAGTGCTCTGCCCGTGTCGAGAGGACTTTATCCGACGTACTGTCGAGTCCCTCAAAGGAGCCAAAAAGGCCATCCTCCATCTATACCTCGCCACAAGTGAATGCTTCCAAAGAATAGTCTTTGGCATGACAAGGCAGGAAAGCCTGGAACTTGCCGTACAGAGCACAAAGTACGCTCGTTCAATCACCAAAGATGATCCGTCGACTGCTGGCACAGAGTGGCTTTTTGAATTTTCACCAGAAACGTTCTCGGATTCGGACCCTGATTTTGTTCTTGAAATTTGTGAGGCTGTGAAGGCGGCGTGGGAGCCAACCGTAGAAGCTCCTTTGATCTTTAATCTTCCTGCCACTGTGGAAATGTCTACCCCAAACGCTTATGCGGATCAAATTGAATACTTTTCAACACATATCTCGGAAAGGGAAAAGGTTTGTGTATCTCTGCATCCCCACAATGACCGTGGATGTGCTGTTGCTGCAGCGGAGTTGGCACAAATGGCCGGCGCTCAGCGAGTTGAGGGCACCCTCTTTGGAAATGGAGAACGAACGGGAAATGTCGACTTGGTCACCCTAGCACTCAATCTCTACACACAAGGAATCTCCCCCAAGGTAGACTTCTCAGATATCAACTCTATAATCAAGGTAGTTGAGGAAAGCAACAAGATCCCGGTGAATGAAAGGTGCCCATATGGCGGGCAGCTCGTCGTTTGTGCCTTCAGCGGCAGTCACCAAGATGCGATCAAAAAGGGTTTCCAACTGCGTGAAAAGACCCACGCAACCGACGAAGACAGGTGGCAAATACCCTACCTGCCAATCGATCCACGTGATATCGGGCGTAACTACGAAGCCATTATCCGTGTCAACTCGCAAAGCGGCAAGGGTGGTGTTGCCTGGGTTATCCTCCGTAGTCTTGAACTGGATCTTCCCCGTGGACTACAAGTTGCATTCAGCAAGATCATCCAAAAACAAGCCGATGCTCTGGGTCGTGAACTATTGCCCAAGGAAATCGTCTCTCTTTTTGAAGACTCCTATCACCTCAAGCAAAACCCCCGTTTCTCCCTGGTAGACTATAATATCACCACCGACCGCTCACAGTCTCCCACGGCCCCCCAACCTGGGAAGGCCCTGAACACACAAAACTTGAAACGGCGTTTCGCCGGCATTATCGAAATAGATGGCCTACAACACGCCATCGTAGGCGTTGGCAACGGAGCAATTTCCTCCCTGGCCAACGCACTAAAATCCCTTGGAATCGACCTCGACGTTGTCGACTATAAGGAACACGCCATTGGAGCTCACAGAGATACAAAAGCTGCGACCTACATTGAATGTACATCCACAAACAGCTCGGAGAAAGTATGGGGCGTTGGTATCCACCACGACGTTGTCCAGGCCAGTTTGACAGCCCTTCTGAGTGCTGCTAGTTCGGTCAGTGCTGATCATTTTCTTTTTTCTTTCCTTCATCCATCCAATAGACTAACATGGTGCAACTGTACAGTTCCTCACATCACGTGCCACCACACCAGCACCATTCCGCCCCTCCCGTGTTGAAGCACTCTCACAAGCCGATCTTGAAGCTCTCTACCAGATCCAGGGAAATACTGGGCCAGCTCGAGCTTTGCTACCAGACAATGCAAATTTGGGTGCTACTTTTACACAGCCAAAGGTCGATATTGCTAAGTTGGAAACACAGGTTAACGGGTTTAAATAAATAAATAGCATGAAAGCATGCTTATCAATTTTAAAACTTTATATATATACAAGCGGGTTGGTGGGAGCTAAAACTGCATTAGCAATATGATGAAAGAAGGAAAGAGGGAAACGAAATAGAGGACTTCATTTTACTGCTCATTTTAGTAACATTTTCTGGTTGGAAAAATTCATGATGCTCTTGTCCGTTGTACAGAGCCGTGAGCGGTTTCTTTTCACTCATAAAATGGGTTAATAATTTGGGATTCCATAACAATTTAACGAGGAGAATATAATATGACAGCAACGGGAGAACTGGACTTAGCAGGTTTTTATTGATACGGGTATATACATACATAATCCATCCTATGAGGATGTTACATAGTCACAAAAGTAGATTCTCGCGAGTGTGATAGAATATCATAAAAAAGGTATAAAAAAAAAGTCGGGTATTATTATAAAATGTCTCCAAGGCAAGCTTCAGATTCCATCATCACCTCATCATGATGTCATTCGAAAAGGAACCCGCATAAAATATGTCAATCACATCATCTATAGAACATAAAATACCATACTATATCGCGAACATTTGCACAGTATGTATATGTAGCAAGCAGCTGAACAAACGGGTGTATAAAAATAAACATGCACATAATCGTTGCAAGCGGGGATATATCTAGGTGAAAAAGATGAAGCCATATAGACAAAAGCGGAAAAAGCATGAGTTTCAAATAAATAAAATATATAACAAGAACTGGTTTCCTCGTCACAAAATGAAAAATGTCATAACATCCGATCCAGCCCACCTATTAAAATAAAAAATTCCCAAATTATCCAGAGCCCAGCGCTCGCTTCCCCTCACCACTCAAAAAGCCCATGAAATTGACGTGAACAAATTTACCTCTGGCCAGAGCTCTGGTTCTGATACACGAGTGCGTTCTCGGACCAGTTATTAATCATGTATCTTCTTGTGGTTGTTGATATGGTCGTTGTTGGTATTGGAGTTGGGATTGCGGTGACCACTGCTCTCATCCGTACGCGTACGATTGAGATTGACCAGGGAGAATAGGGACAAACAGAACCAGAACCAGAGATGTGCTGTACCGCAGACAGAAAGGATTAAGACGAGACTAGCTATATCTCGGCTGAGGGATGGCCAGCGATCCAAGGGGTGTGTGTGGCGTCAGGGGTTGAGTAGAGGAGATAACAATAGAGAGTATCTCGCGCAAAGCCGTCTTGAGACCCAGAGATAGGAGGACGCTTGAACGTTCATGCAGCGACGGAGTCAATTTGAAATAGACGTGAGCACCAGAACATAATCCAGACAGCACAAAATGCATCCGCATCGACACTTGTAATCTACAGGTGCGC